CCATCTGTGGATCAGAGCAGATCTTGGCGGCTGGCATCCCAGTAATATGTATAGTGTGAAGCTGTTGTCCTGTTTGTTGTTGGTTATTTATTTATTTGTGTTTTTCTGCATTTAAAAAAAGCTCTCATGCTATGCATTTATTATGGAAAGCTTGACATCGCCCCCCCATATTCTCCATTATCTGTGTCATGCTTGTTTGTGGTCTTGCCCACATGAGACCAGGGTATATTTTGCACACGGTTAATTTTCCTGTTCCATCTGTACTCCATGTTAATGGGTTTCTTCGAAAAAATATGATGTGATTCATGCTAATTAAAAACCACTGTGTGAATGTCTGTATTGCAAAATGACCCACTAGATCATTTGAGGTAGATCTTCTGCGGTTCTTGAATCTTTGCATTCACTCATAATTCTTTTGGCGCCGGCAAAACTTGAATTCGAAAAATTGAATTGATCTGTAAAAAAAATTCCACCTTCTAGCTCGTGGTGGTACGGCCCATGCAGAGATTTTTCGAAGGGCAGATGCTCAAATGGGTGGGACCACCTTGGTAAATTTTGGGGGACTTAGAACCTCATACGGGGGTCACTTTCACTCGTTTGGACAAAAGGGGAAGGTGTTCAGGCACCACCAGCCCCTGGAGGAGATGCCAGCCCATCACTACATGCAGTGCCACTCCTAACGACTGCGGACAGTAACCCACACAACACAGGGAGGACTCGCAAACTCCACAAACGTAGAGTGGAGGAGAAATTCGAACCCGCAACCCTGGGGATGTGAGGAAACAGTGCTAGCCACTGTGCTGCCCTCCTTTTACAAACCTCAAATTTAAAAAATATCTGGTTTAACATTTGCCCTCACCTTAAAAAATATTACTGGACGGAGTACAGCTTCAATTGGGAAATGACCGACTTGGCTATGGTGAAGCTTATCAGGCTGGGTGACATGGCGTGTGGCCTGTAACTTAAGCAACCCAAGCCCAGTCTTGCCTGCAATGAGTCGCCAGGCCCAGAACATTTATTTTCACCCTGGATAATTATGGTGGGGGTGGTGTTGGATTTGACCTCTGGGGGTCGCCGTACGGCCCATTCCTGCTCGTCCCCCACTTAGTGCTCTTGTTTCTGCGATTTCCTTGTAGCTTTTAGCTCTTATGCTACCCCCTCCCCTCCACACCCCCATTCTTCCAAGCGTGTCCTTTTAGCACTGTGACACGCAAAACTGTCATCTTACGTGGGCTTTGTTCACATCAGGGGCTCGACTGTATTTTAATGGCAAACACCTTTTTTGTTGTTACTTTCGCATGTGGGATTTTTCAAATAGTTCTTCATTTTGTCGTAAGGTATCCTGGCCTATTAAGTGGCATGCCGCGAACAGCCAGGGCTCGCTGGTGCCACGAGTGTGAAACGAGCGCGCTCTCTCTCTCTCTCTCTCTCTCTCTCTCTCTCTCTCGCTCTCTCTCTCTCTAGGTGTGTGCTGTCGTACCAGGCCTGTCAAACGCTCACGTTCAGACGCTGCCTCCTGCAAGACAGCATTGCCAGATACCCTGTGCCTGAAGGTGCGTGTCCCTCCCCCCCCCCCCACCCCAATTTTGGCTTTGGTTTCACTTTATGCCGTTTGAACTCGGAATGGCGGGGAGCTGATCCGCTGTTCTCGAAGGCAGGCTTTCAAAACACAAAGGACAGCGCTTTCCGTGTGTCACGAGTGCCTACGGTTTTTATTTCTTCTTTTTCTTGGCACCGACGATAAATGTAAACGTGTCTGTAAGTTAGCGCGAATCGAATAGCTAAGTGACGGACGGGTCGTGATGCGCGTTTGCTCAGACGGGTCAGGCAGCTAAAAACTAACTGTCGGCTTCTCCTTCTAAACCCTCCACAGACCCAGACTGGATCAAGAGGATATTGCAGGGACCTTGTACCTTCTGTGACTCCCCACTCTTCTAGCTAGAAGACGACGGCTGCATTGTTTCAGGCTGGCACAAGCCTGCTCAGTCTACATGGACTTTATTTTATTATGTAAATGCAGCTTTTTATTATGAATTTGATTTGGTATTGTTTATTAATTATTGAGTATAGTTCCCTTCCTCATTCTGGGGAAGTATGTTGAATACTATCTTTTTTTCCCACAATGTACAGAATTTCAGTCTGGGTTAAGACTGTGTGGTTCATGTTCACTACGTACTTCTGTCATTGTTCCACATCTTGTGACCAGGTAGCTGGCTCCAGCATCATTTTCTTATCTTGCTTTTCACATTACAGATCTCCATATTTATATATAATATATATATATATAAAAAATAGAGCAATGTAAAGTTTTAGGCCTTTTATTTTATTTTGTCGTTATGCAGTTTGACAGGATCATCATAATTTCCTTGCGCGGCATTGTTCAAATACATATTTCGCTAAATTGGCTTTGGAAAATTCATGTCCGACGCTCCTTTAGTTATGCAACCCTTCCTTTAAAGACCTGAGACGAGGGCTTCATATAGATGAGGCGAGAGACGGGCAACAGAAAAGATTCAGTCCCTCCCAAGGGTCTGGTTTCTAATGAGATTCCACTGTAATGAGGGGCAGGTCCTGCTGGCAGATGTGAGACTAATTTTAATTAATGAGGTTAGAGTGCATATTGTTAAATATGATTAACCCTTTTCGGAGAACAGCGGCTGGGTGCTGTGTGTCTGCGCCGGCCCCGTATTCCCTGCACCTTGGCTGCCCGACACGGAGGTCGGCGCCTCCTGATCAAAGACCCGGCTGGGCCTCTTGAGAGACCCCGAATGATCGCCGCCGACTCGGTCGCCTGTGCTCAGCCACAACATCCACACCCCCACCTCGTCTTACGGTGGGCTGCGGGGGGCCGCCCTGCCCCGCGGGGGACCGCTCTGCCCCGCTTGGCGCTTGACACGTGAGCGTTTTTTTTTTATATATATATATATATATTTTTAATATATATTTTAACAGCGTATCCAAGAAACGCTGCAAACCGAAAGCGCCCGTCCATCTCAAAGAGCTCTTAAGAAAATGCAAAGATGGAAAGAAACCGGAGGAATTTATAGGCTTGTAGTGGATGTTTCTGCACTTATTTCTCATCGGCTGATCTTTCTGAGCACTGTGGTCCTGACACTGCACAGTGGATTATGGGAAAACGGGTCAGGGAACACGTCTGCCGTTTAAATCCAAAGTATTTTCCTTAATTGCATAAAATCTGCAAAGGATACACGATTATATCTGCTAACTGTTTTAACAATTCATTGATCCAAAACCGTTGATGTCCACTTGCCTTTTGGTGCATCGTCCTGTTTCCATGGATGGTGAAAGCTTCGTACTTAATTAGGGACTCCCATAATCTTGCTCTTTCTTATAACATAGGAAATCCTATAATCGTTTAATTAGATATAGCTGAATAACAGTAGTATATATGTGAAATTAAAGCTGGTTGTCAATGGAAGACTTTTTCACAGATGTATAGACGGCTCCCAGTGGTCCTGGTTTAATCTCCAAGCCCCGTTTACCCCGTAAATAGTGCTGTTTGCCAGGATGTGTGTTATGGTTCTTACGTCTGGATTCAGCCCTGCCTTGCTGCATGGTCTGAAGAAATGTATCTTAGCCAAGAAACTGTACGTGCTGTTTTTGTTTTGCTTCTTTTGTAAATAAATTTTTAAAGTATTTTGTACAATTATTATAGGGTCACTTGTCTCCATGTACACGTGTTATGAAAGATACGACGTCTCAGTACATAGTAGGTGGCGACATGCTAAATATCAGCCTTAAGATCCAACCAGCTTTACGGCATGTTTGTCTGCTGCTAGCCATAACGCTACTTTGTATCGCTATCCTGACCATTGCGATGTTTACAAACAAAGTTTACAGTGTGGCTTGTAAAATGTATATGAAGCGCACACATGTGGAAGTTCATATAGACGAGATGATAGATGGGGAGCAGATGCTGATTGGATGGTCCCGGTGCACGAGCTGGATGCGGAAACGCAGCCTGTGCTTCGAAAAGGGCTTCTGACTGACGGACAGAAGGGAAGGAGCCCAGATGTGATTATTAGCTTCATTATCTCACGTTTTGAGACTCAACACATGAGCGCGTTTTACATTATAATTATCAAACATTTAATGCCCGACATTAAGCCGAGCTACGGCTGCTAAATAAATCAGTGAATCTGGGAGCGGGTGGGGGGGGGGTTGTGGAAATAGATACCCTGCAAATAAAAGGAGCCTAAACTTTCATCAAGTTTACACCCCTCCTCCCTCGCCTCTTTAATGAAGATACTTGTCCCCTCGCTGAAGCAGGCAGCCACGGCCCAGACCTCGTGTGGTAATTAAGTCGATCCGGGGTTGTCATAGAGATCCATCTGAGGGGAGTTTTAAATGTGTCGGTTAACATGTTTTTCTAACTGCTTTACTTAACCGGCCCGTCCCGGTGGGAGGGGAGCGGTGACCCGTGACGGGAGGCGCGGCTGCGGGAGGAGCACTGGCAGAAGATGTCAATAACCGCAGTGCTGCTTGTTCTCCAGCATGTGATCACTGGAGTGGAACTAATACCCCCCAGCACACAAGGCCCAAACAGACTGTATTTTACTGCTACATTAATTAAACAAACTCAGAATTAACGAGGGTCCTGTCTGCCTCTGTGACAGCCGAGGGTCAGGGGGCTTTAGGCTGGGGGGGGGGGGGGGTTGTTAGAGGGCGATTTTTAGTGTCTTTTTGCAGTGTTTGTTGGCTCCTGCGGAAAAAGAAAATGAATGGCTTCCCACGAAAGCATGGGACTAATGGCTGCCCTAACAGGAAGTCTGTCCTTTATGATTAAATACAGACAATGGGATATGTGCAAAAAATAATTCAAATAAACCATATATGTCCTATTAATGCAATGAAATAAGTCAAAGCTTGGGGAGAAACTTATGTTGTAACCAAAGATGCAATAATGTTACATTTACAGTAAATCTAAAAGCCTGTAATTAAATTTTTTTTTTTTAAATGAAACACCACTTTAATAGATGCACTGCATTCACAGAGGAGCTTTATTTGAGGGTAGGTTGTCATTATGCTCCTGCTCTATGCCTGCTCTCCTTCTGTACACCTGCTACTCCTCTGCTCTCCTTCTGTACACCTGCTACTCCCCTGCTCTCCTTCTGTACACCTGCTACTCCTCTGCTCTCCTTCTGTACACCTGCTACTCCCCTGCTCTC